CCCCAAAACCCCAAAACCCCAAAACCCCAAAACCCCGAGAAGATAAAATATGATTGATTTAGGAATATGCCCGATACCTATTCGAAAATTTTAAGATAATTCTCCCTTCTTAAGGGATCATTAAAGCTACTTAGACCCCTAGCAGTGCAGTATCAAGCTTAGAAGCATGCTTATGAGTTATAATTATGAATTAGCCTAATTTTCTGAATATTTTTGAAAATTATTTTGAAACGGAATGGTGTGACAAGTCAATTTTGATCTGATTCTATGCTTTCCTCCTTCCATCCTCTCCCATGCTCTCTAGGAAGCATCTAAATTTGAAGCATAAGCTTGATTTATATTAAAAACTGTCTGTTTTGAAGAGAATTAACTATTAGCTCTTCAGAAGGATATGCGTAATAGCAAAGATTGACATTCATTTTTAAAACATGTGCCCATTTTTTGGTGCCCATTACAGAAGAACAATATAGGTTTTTATGAGAATCTAAACTTCTGTAATGAAATTTCTCACAGCTAGGACTCTATTAGCATCTGGATATTTCAATAGATGGTCTCGAAAGTTCAAGCATATGCTTGGGTGCTGATCTAGAAACTGGTGGGTTCTCCCCCAGCACCCTCAAATACTTTAAATATCTCAGATTTTATAATTAATTAAAATCTAAATGAAAATTTCTCTAGCAATCGTACTTTGCTTGGCTCTTGCTATGACAAGTGCCTTCAGAATCAGGTAAGACTCAATTCACATGTGCAGCTAATCATTAGTAGCTCGCGATAGAAAGCATTCATTTGCTCAGTTGATGATTCATTAGTATTTTAAAGAGATAATATATTCAATGTGTTTGAACAATAATCTAACTCAACATAGACAAGGAAACGGAGTCCAGCAACTCATGACTGACATGCAACAAGGTATCCAAGATGGTAACCAAGCTCTTACTGACACCGAAGCACTCCTCAACGACGCCACCGAAGCCACTGAAGGCATGGCCAACCAATTCATTGGACAAGGTCTCAATGCTGCAGGACAGTTCACTGGAGCTGCTGTTGGAGGAACCAGACTTCAGCAGAGCGTTGGAGATGCTGTCAACGTTGCCACTACTGACGGTACTACTTTGACTAATGACGCTGTTGAGCTTACCAACGACGCCACTTCTGTATTCAACGACCTCAACAATCAGTTCATGAATACTGCCACTAACTTCATGGGAGGTATGATGGGAGGAGCCACCGGAGGAGCCACTGGAGGAGCCACCGGAGGAGCCAGACTTCAGCAAGGAAACCTCGCTCAAGACATCGGAACTCTCAACCAGGCCACTCTCGGAGCTATCCAAGACGGAGAAACCGCTTTTAATGATGCTCTTGATCAAACTGAGTTATTGACCAACAACGCTCTCCAAGGATTCGAGAATGCTATGGGCGCCCAAGGAGCCACTGTTAATGCACCAACCAGACTCCAACAAGCCACTCAATCTGATGTAGCTGATGACACCAACGCCGTCAATAACGACTTCGCTGGCTTGACTAACGACGGAATTGCTTTGACAAACGACTTATTGCAACAAACCAATGCTGCTTTCGCTCAATTAATGGGAGGATTGACTGGTGCTGCTCCTGGAGGAAACAGATTAATGACTTTCCCTCAAAATTCCGGTGCAAACATCTTCGGTAGTATGGGTTTAACTCCTAATGCTTCACCAGCCAGCAATGGTGCTACTCCTGCTCCAGCCGGTGATACTGCTACTCCAGCCGGTGGTGATGCTGCTCCAACCGGTGGCGATGCTGCTCCAACCGGTGGCGATGCTGCTCCAGCTGGTAGAAGAAGACTCCAGAGATTCCACTAATTCAGGAAATGTAGTAGGGCAATCTAACAGAGAAGTAGTTTTCTGGTAGTTTGTCAATTAACTAATCATAATCCAAAAAATAAAAAATAAAAAATATATGAATGTCCACTACAACATTACAAACATTCCTCGGGGTTTTGGGGTTTTGGGGTTTTGGGGTTTTGGGG